CCTCCTCCTCCCCCCTCCTCCCCCTCCTCCCTCTCTGCTGCTCCTCCTCCTCCTCCTCCTCCTCGTCCTCCTCCCCCTTTGCTCCTCCTCCTCCTCCTCCTCCTCCTCCTTCTCCTCCTCCTCCATCCTGTTTCCTTATACGAAAGTTTCCCTGTCGCACCCCGAGACGTCTTATAGGGCGGTCACGGATGGAGGGCGGAGGGGGTCAAAGTGTGCCTCGCCTGAGCGCCGCGCATATTTGTCTTACAAGTTTGCAAGGGCTTCCCTGGTGGAGGGTGGGTGGTTTTCAGAATTTGGGTCCCGCCTTAGCGCCGCACACGTTCGTCTCAAACGATTGTAAGGTTTCACGGATGAGCGGCGATTCCTTCAAATTTTGGTTCCCGCCTTAGCGCCGCAACCATTCATTTTCGAGCCTACGACAGCATCAGGGAATCGTATGGCTGACGCCCCAGGAATGGTGTGCCGGTGCGATTTAGGATTGTCAGGGCACAACCGTCACGTTGGTTCGTGGTGTTGAAGTCCCAGGAATGTTGATCTGGCACGATTCAGGATCGTCAGGACGCAAATGTTGATGCGCGGCGTTGAAGTCCCATGTCTGGTGTTGCGGCACGACTTAGGATTCTCAGGCGGTTGTCTTCAAATGAGGCACTCCCCGGAGTGAAAACAGTCTGTTGTAGGGGTCTATGAGGGGGGAACTTGGAGGGAGGGCTTATTGCAACCTCGTTGGTCAGTCTTGGGGTGTTGAGTCTAAGGCACCCTCTTGGGCGTGAGGCCGGCCTCGCTTGCGCGCTGGAGGCGCGTGCACCGTGTGGGCCCACTTCCACCGCTGCGGGCACCTCCCTGGGGTGTGCGTTGTGGGTTGTGGGGGTGGCGCGGGACCTCCTTCTCTTTTCTCCCCTCCCTCGGGAGTCGCTTACCTCCCCCTTCTACCCCTTCTCCCCCTCCACCTCGTGGGCCCCTGCGCGAGGCCCCAGGACGAGCACGAGCTTCACCTGCCCGGCGACTCGCCGTCCTCGGCCTCCTCGGCCCTGGATGGCGGGGGCCCCCGGGGGCCTCTGCCGCTGATCCATGGCGTGGAGAAGCTTAAGGCCGCCCTGCTCGACAGCACGGCCGCGCAGCGCAAGACGGTCTACACCCGGGTGAGGCTCCAGGAGGAGGAGGAGGAGGAGGAGGAGGGAGGAGGAGGAGGAGGAGGAAGGGAGGAGGAGGAGGAGGGAGGAGGCGGGAGGAGGAGGGAGGAGGAGGGAGGAGGAGGGATGAGGAGGGGAGGGGGGAGAGGAGGAGGAGGAGGAGGAGGAGGAGGAGGAGGAGGAGGAGGAGGAGGAGGAGGAGGAGGAGGAGGAGGAGGAGGAGGAAGGCTGCCCAAACGGGGCCGGAGCAGACTGTGTCGAAGGATCGCGCCGCGTCGCCGAGGCGTGGACAATCCTTGACTGCGTTCTCGCCGCATCGCCGATGCGTCTGCAGTGCGGTGCGACCCGCTGACCCCGTGCGCTCGAGGCCCCCGTTGGCGCGGCCTTTGGAGGCACGGGCTCAAGAAGCAGATGTCAAAGGATCCGGACATGTGGTCCTGGTTCCAGCAGCTGCTGCTGGACGCGTTCGACGGCCTGTGGGACGACGTGGAGGACGAGGCCCAGGGCGAGGAGAAGGATGATGATGATGATGATGATGATGATGATGATGATGATGATGATGATGATGATGATGATGATGATGATGCTGATGCTGATGCTGATGCTGATGCTGATGCTGATGCTGATGCTGATGCTGATGATGCTGATGCTGATGCTGCTGCTGATGATGATACTGATGATGATGATGATACTGATGATGATGATGATGATGATGATGATGACGATGGTGATGATGCTGACGCTGATGATGATGATGCTGATGATGCTGATGATGATGATGATGATGATGGTTATGCTGCTGATGATGATGATGATGATGGTGATGGTGATGGTGATGCTGATACTGATGATGATGGTGATGATGCTGATGACGGAGATGCTGCTGATGATGCTGATGATGCTGATGATGCTGGTGATGATGATGCCGCCGATGATGATGATTGCGGTGTTGGTGGTGGTGGTGGTTGATCATGGTGGTGGTGGTGACGATGCTGATGCTGATGATGATGATGATGATGATGATGGTGGTGATGGTGGTGGGTGATGATGGTGGTGGTCTACGATGATGCTGGTGGTGATGGTGATGGTGGTGGTGCTGATAGTGACGGTGATGGTGATGATGCTGATGATGCTGCTGCTGTTGGTGATGATGAGGATGAGGATGGTGAGGATGAAGCTGATGAGGATGAAGATGATGATGAGACGGCTGATGAGGATGAGGATGAGGCTGAGCACGGGGATGATGATGATGACGGTAATGATGATGATGATGATGATGATGATGATGATGATGGTGATGATGATGGTAATGATGATGATGATGTTGATGTTGATGATGTTGATGATGATGAGATGATGATGATGATGATGATGCTGATGATGATGACGATGATGATGGTGACGATGATGATGATGATGATGATGATGATGATGATGATGATGATGCTGATGATGATGATGATGATGATGATGATGGTGATGATGATGATGATGATGATGTATATGTGATGATGATGATGCTGATGAGATGATGATGATGATGATGATGATGATGCTGATGATGCTGATGATGATGATGATGATGATGGTGGTGGTGGGTGATGATGGTGGTTGTGGTGGTGATTCTGTTGGTGATGAGGATGGTCATGATGATGATGATGATGATGATGATGCTGATGATGATGACGATGATGATGATGATGATGATGATGATGATGATGATGATGGTGATGATGGTGATGATGATGATGATGATGATGATGATGATGCTGATGCTGATGCTGATGATGATGATGATGATGATGATGATGATGATGATGATGATGACGATGATGGTGGTGGTGGTGGGTTATGGTTGTGGTGGTGGTGGTGCTGATGGTGGTGATGTTAGTGATGGTGATGGTGATGATGCTGATGATGCTGCTGCTGATGGTGATGATGAGGATCATGAGGATGATGAGGATGAGGCTGATGAGGATGATGAGTCGGCTGATGAGGATGAGGATCAGTATGAGCATGGGGATGATGATGATGATGATGCTAGGATGAGGATGAGGAGAAGGAATCGGAGGAGGAGGAGGCGGAGGAGGAGGAGGAGGAGGAGGGATGGGGACCACATCGAGGCAGAATGAGGAGGAGTGTTGGGAGGATGAGCAGGATTGGACACTTCAGGGCGACACAAGAATGAATAAGCCAGCGTGGGAAAGCATCGGGGTAAGAACTGTCCCCACCAACCCACGCCCGCCTGTCCTATCTACCACTCCACGCAAGTCCAAAGCAAGGGCAGGCTGTACGAGGGATGCTGCAGCTCCCCGACACGCTTACAAGAGGCCTCAGCGTCATAGGACCTGAATGTCTCTTCACATTCATTCTGTAACTTTACATTCCGACCATCGGAAGTGCTGTCTCTTTTTTACCTGGCACAGACCACCCGAGCTGGGTGGTGCGCGAAGCGCGCGGCCCACCTCCGAGGAGGGTGCACAGAGTGCCTGCATGAATTCGCATGCAGTCGGCCCATGCAGCCTCAGGCCGGAGCCCGAGAAAAGCGGCGGCTCACGTACTTAGCCCGGAGCCGCCACAGCTGCATGGGGCGCTCTGGCAGCCAGCCAGAGAACACGGGCGCCCGCGCCGCACACCTCCGCCCGCCGGCCCAACGAAGGGATGGACTACCCACAGCAGCGTCGAGACCTAGTTCCCCCGCACCCCCGAACCTTGGGAGGCCCCTGTAAGGTAACTCCGGATTAGAAAAGGAGCCCTTCCAGGGTGGATCTGGGGGCTGGATCTTACACTCGGCTGGCGAGGCCAAGCAGCAAGGGGTCTCTCCCCGAGTTGCGTCCAGCGCGGGTGACGGTCGGGCTGCTACCCGCCTGTTTTCCAGAGACGGCCGAAGCCCTCTGTGGCACAGGTGCCGCCATCGGAAGCAGGCGCTACAGATTATGATACATCTGTCATCGACGGCGGAGAAGTCAGCAATGAGCAGCTTGGGACCTTTGGGGTAACGAGGCACATCGCGGAGTCTGTCAGGGAAACCCGGGCAACGGCCAGCATCAGGACGCTCCTCGCCCTGGCGTTTCGCGAGACATCCCGCGCACCTCCAGCGCGAGGAGCTGAATTGCCAGGCCAGCCAATGAGGAGACGGGGGGGGCAAGCGGAGCTGTAGGGGAGGCAGGGCATCAGGGGCCGGAGGGGCATCAGGGGCCTGTGCTGCACGTGGTCGGCACGCTCCCCCGCAACAGAGAGATCGACCGAGCAGGCCTAGGGCGGCGGGGCGATTACCCTCCCGAGCAGCCTGCCCCGAGAGATCCAAGCCTGCAAGGGCACCGATCTTGGCCACGATGTCCGCCTTCGAGTTGCCAACGGCCTTTCGCTATTCATCAGATCTTGGAGCGAGCGCGTCAGGATTGACAGGCGCCTTGGTCTTAACGATCTCAGCATTGCATACCTTGCGGCCTATGGCTTGAGTATCTACGCCAGCATCATCAGATTTCCTATTGTACAATCTGCAGGGGAGCCAGCCACTGATTCCTGCAACGCCGTCGTAATCAGCAATGGGATATGTCATGTGGGGGAACTGGGCCAGGGCGACGCACGCTGCATGATGTTTTGCGGCAGGGCTGGTCTGCGGAAGCATTTCCCTAACTCTGCCGCGATAGGTCGCCCATAGTTCACCGTGCTGGTCAATGACAGCCAGACGCGGTCCAGGGAAAACATCATCTTGTATCCGTCTGTGAAGGCACTCCCATCCGAAAGCGCTTCTCCTCTGAAAGCCTCCTCTTACGATACCGACGATTCACGACACCAGAGAATACCATTCTGGTCCCCCAACCCCTCGGGGAGGATCAGGGGGAGGATGAGGAGGAGGAGGAGGAGGAGGAGGAGGAAGAGTTGAGGAGGAGGAGGAGGCGGTGGAGGAGAAGGAGGAGGAGGAGCAGATTTTGTGGGCGGTCTCAGGAGGGGGTGGAGGAGGAGGAGGAGGAGGAGGAGGAGGACCATTGTAAAACCCAGACTCATCAACGATATTGCAATACACCGTCCCTCCAAGCTCCCTCTTCATAGGTCCGTGCACGGATTCACTTTAATTGAAGGAAGTGCTTCATTGGATAACAACCTCCTGAAAATCCTGAGCTGTGCCAGAACACCAGTCCTGGGATTTCAACACCGCGAATTACCGTTACTGTTGTGTCTTGACATTCTCGAACCTTCCACAACACCATCCCTGGGACTTCAACACCATGAACCGATGTAACTGTTGCCCCCTGACATTCCGACATCGTGCCACAGCACCCTGTCTGGAGCGTTGCAAACTCGTAGAAGAACGTGCGCGGCGCTAATGCGAGGGCCACTTTTTGAAAACGCCGCCCTCAATCCGTGAAGCTCTTGCGTTTCTATGACGACTGTGTGCGGCGCTAATGCGAGACCCACGTTTTGAAAACGACCCGTCCTCCATCCGTGAAGCTGGTGCACGTTTGTATGACGAGTGCGCGCGGCGCTAAGGCGATAGCCACATTTTGAAATCCACCTATCGTCCATCCGTGTAACCCTTGCTCGCGTCTGCAACGGATGTGTGCGGCGCCAGGGCGAGAGCCACGTTCTGATCGCCACCTGTCCCCTATCCGTGAGACTCTTGCGCAGTTCTAGAAAGAATGTGCGCGGCGCCAAGACGAGAATCACATGTTGAAAGCGACCCGCCTTCCGTCCGCAAGCTGTTGCAGCCTTGTTTGAGTTCCAGGGCCACACATGGGGCGAGAGTCTGAGGCGTGCGACACGCCTGGCCCGCCCTTCCGACTGGCCTCGGGGTGCGACAGGGAGGAGTTATTCACAATGGAAAGGAATGGAAGAGGATGATGGGGGAGGGGGAGGAGGAGGAGGAGGAGGAGGAGGAGGAGGAGGAGGAGGAGGAGGAGGAGGGAGGAGGAGGAGGAGGAAGAGGAGGAGGAGGAGGAGGAGGAGGAGGAGGAGGAGGGGGAGGGGGAAAGGGGGAGGGGGAGGGGGAGGGGGAGGAGGAGGGGGAGGAGGAGAAGGAGGAGGAGGAGGAGGAGGAGGAGGAGGAGGAGGAGGAGGTGGTTAGGGGGGAAGACGATGACGGCGAGGTGGAGCACCTGCTCGAGAGGGGCGTCTTCAAGCAGCGCGAGGAGTTGCGCCAGCCGCATCTGGGCTCCGGGCTGCCCATCGCCCGCGCGCGCGCCTTCCTGCTGCACCACTACTTCCCAGGCGGCCCCTCCCAGCGTCGCCCTCTCCCAGAGGAGGAAGCGGTACCCATACCGCTATCCTTCCCTCGTTTTCGCCCACTTGGGCCTCCTGGGAGGCCCTCGTCGCCACCGCCGGATTCGCCTCGAGATTCTGGTCAGAACGCACCCCAGGAGAGGTCTGGGGAGTCGCGGTATCGGTACCTTGTGGTTTACCCACTCCCCTTCGCCCCTGCTCGGCACCACCCAAACATGGGTATACTACACGTGCATCGGTCACGCCAGGGCGTCGCGCATGCTCGGAAATCTTACAGCATCAGCTTTGTGGTGGGCGCCTTCTGGCCATGCCGCACGGGGAACGAGATGCTACAAGACTCGTGTACCGTCAGGGCGCTGAGATGGGGGCCTCTTTGGGTTCGCTCGCTGTTCCTTGGACCCCTCCGTGGTTGCTCCTCTAGCCCTCCTCGCGCTCCTAGGTGCGTCTGGGGCCAGCAAGGGGCTTCGCTCCTCATTTTGCGTGCCTTCTGGTGGTGCCTCGACGGTGCTGCATGCTCTGGTCGGAGGTGCGTCTCCGGCAGAGGCACATCGTACTGGTATTCCCTTGTGCGCCCCACCTGCTGCTGCTGGTCCTGCCGTGGCTTCGCCTGCGGGTGCTGCTCGGGCCTGCTCTCGGCAGATCGACAGGTCCTGCTGCCGCGCCAGGAGACGCGTCGGGGTGGAGAGCTCAGCCTGGGAACCGCCTCCAAAGCCGGAATCCGTTCGGTCGAAACCGGGGCGGGAATTTCTACATGACCACCGCCCGGAGGATCACTTCTCTGGGGCCGCGGCAGGCGTTGGACATGGACATATTCGGGCCCCCAGGGGCCAACATATCTCCACATCCACCGCCCGCTGGGGCACCAGGACGTCGGTTCCCAGGCGGTGGATGTGGATAAATCCCCGCCTCGCATCAACCGCGAAGCCTGGAACCCGCTTCGAAGCCCAGAGTTCGCCTCGAAACCCGGAGTTCTGCAGAAGTGCGGAGCCAGAAGTTCCGATTGGCCAATCCGGGAATTCGCATTTCCCCTATGTTTTTTTCTCTTGCCACTCTTTTTCACTGGCGGCTCGCCAATAGGAATGGCCCCATTCCGAAGACCATATGCGCCAAAAGGAGATTTTCGTAGTATTCTGTTTATGGAGTTTGCAGGAGCCACATGCGAGCCCTACCCCACCACTCCACGATTTCTAAGGGGGGAGGTGAGGTTCACTTCGCTCGGGATGTCCCGAACGAAGTAACCCCCACCTCCTTCCTTACAAATCGTGGGGTGGTGGGATAGGGTTCGCATATGGCCTCCTAGTTTGGTGACCTGCGAGAGCGAGACACCGCCGTAGCATTGCTCGGAAGCAAACGCACACAAGGGGAACCAGCACACCGTGGGCATCTCAGAATAGGGAGCCGGTCGAGCGAGCAGCCCGTCACTTGAACTTTGCCTTTGGCGTCAAGTCTTTGGTTAAAGGCCATATGGGCAATGAGTACGCCGTAAAAGCTAACGATTGTGCTTCGTCTCAGGTCCACGTAAGCGGTCAGCTAGCACTTTCTGTACATATACGCGGTGGCGCTCTTTACCGCGATTTGGAGGCAATCTGTCAGACCTTGGGAGACTTACAAAATCATGAGAAGTTGACTGCCTTGACCGAGAAATGCGACTCCATCATCCACAGGTCCCGCCTCGGTGTGAGGGGAACACCAAAGGCTCATCTCAGGGAAGTTACAAGTAGGACATACGGCGAGCATTGCGAACGAGCTTTGGCGCTAACCTATCCGCAGTCAGTGCCGGAGCCGTCCAACTACAATCTACATTGGAAACTACTGGTGTCCCTGTTGGGCCTTTTCAAAACCTCCATTGTTTACGTGCACGCGCTCGGTATCTGAATATCGACAGTGGCCACGATACTGACAAAGTCGTCGACAACCTGATTGGTGGCAGTACGAGTCTGGGCAAGGATGCCCTTGTAAACCCACCAGTCTAGTTTTCACCACCTTGCGTTGGCACTGGGACTGCACCGTCACCGACGGCATCACAATCAATCGCACAGTATTTACCTCCAGTTTTTCGTTCTCTACACGTTCAGCTATGCAATGTCTTTGATGGCCGCGATGAAGATGGCAGTGTGGAGCGGCCACCTAGGGAACAACCTTGCCTCTATATTTGTTATTCTCTGCAGATGATATGCTGGGTTTTGGGCAACGCTCCCGCTGGCGAGTAGGGTGGAGCATGGAGTCCAACGGTTTCGCCCCTCGCCAGGGGTTGCCGCGTGGCGAGTAGGAGTGGAATCATATTGTAGTGGCCTGCGGCCAGTGCCGCCGATCCGGGGCGCTCCGGGTGCCTGGAAATGAAAGACGACGAGGAAGTCGAAAACGACGACGAAAACGAATACGTCGACGACGACGACGACGAGAGCGACGACGACAACGACCACGACGACGACGACGACGACGGCGATGACGACGACGACGACGCGAGCGACGACGACGACGATGACGACGACGACGACGACGACGACGACGACGACGACGACGACGACGACGACGACGACGACGACGACGACGACGACGACGACGACGACGACGACGACGACGACGACGACGACGACGACGACGACGACGACGACGACGACGACGACGACGACGACGACGACGACGACGACGACGACGACGACGACGACGACGACGACGACGACGACGACGACGACGACGACGACGACGACGACGACGACGACGACGACGACGACGACGACGACGACGACGACGACGACGACGACGACGACGACGACGACGACGACGACGACGACGACGGGGGGGGAGCTGGGTTGCAGGGGGGGGGTCTGCTCTGCAGGGGGGGTCCGCTCGGCAGAGGGAGGGGCTGCAGGGGATAGGGGGGGTCCGCTCTGCAGGGGGGGGGGGGCTGCAGGAGGGGGGGTCTGCTCTGCAGGAGGGGAGGGGGGGGCAGGGGAGGGGGGGTCCGAATCTGCAGAGGGGGCGGGGCTGCACGGGGGGGGG